TCCCTAATTCACTGAAGACTTTTCCTCATTCCCCAAAATGTTGTACACGCTTCACATACTAACATATTTATTATCTCTGAACCTACTATGCCAGTTCACTTCTTCACACTTTTCATATATTTGACTCTGCGTGGCCAAATTTTACTTATCTTCCAGATGTAGCTAATTCCATGATGCCTCCCTGAAGCCCCCACCTATGCCACCACGGCACTCAATTTATATCATCTTCTCCTCATTGGCCTAAAACCATCATCACCCGTCACTTATATTACCATAAGCAACTTTTTTTTTTTTTACCATTCCTTTACCACAGCATGACCCTGCTCCTCTTCTGTTCAAATCCTCCTGTGGCTCCTTTACTATTACAGGACTTTACTATTATAGGACTAGTGCTATAACTATGTATTTACCAATCTGTTTCCCCTACTACATTATAAGATCCCAGAGAGCAAGTTTGGTGATACTGTATGCAGATTTGCTTCCCCACTGCTTAACACTATATACTTGGCATAGAAATCTGTTGAATGAAAATTTAAAAGTAAATGAAATCGTTTATGAAGGGCTAGGAAAGGAAAAATAGAATCTAAGAGTCGAAGTGCTTTCCAAAGTCAAACCTGAACGTGATGTATAGTTTGAGTTTTTTACATTTGCTGAAGAAAAGCTCATTTTGATAGTTTTAACAATAAATTAGTAGACTCAGGAGTAAATGATAAACTAATGATAGAATTTAAGTTTTGCAAGATGAAACAGTTCTGAAGCTTGGTTGTACAACAATGTGAAGGTACTTAACACTACTGAACTATCCACTTACAAATGGTTAAGATGTAAACTTTACACGTGTATTTTACAATTAAAAATAAATTAATTAGTAGCCCAGTGAGGGGGGGCATTTGCTCAAGTATACATAGGTATTTTATAGAACATTAAGTGAACTCTAATGTGAAATAAGGCTTTGCAATTTTTTAATTAAAATTACTGACTTATTAAAGTAGGAAGGAAGATTCAATATCACCTAGTTCAACCTTATTTCACAAATAAGAAAAATAATCATGGAAAATAGAAAAATATTAACTAAGGAAAAAAAAACAGGATCAAAACCCAGGTTTTACTGAGAATGGAGGGCTCTCTTAATTGTACACATTACAATCCCCAACAATTTAGAAAGTAAAGTCTATGGGCACCTGGGTGACTCAGTTGGTTAGGCAACTGCCTTCAGCTCAGGTCATGATCCTGAAGTCCTGGGAGATCAAGTCCCACATCAGGTTCTCTCCCCAGGGAGTCTGCTTCTCCCTCTGACCCTCCCCTTCTTATGTTCTCTCTCTCTCTCTCTCTCAAATAATAAAATAAAATCTTTTAAAAAAAGAAAGAAAGAAAGAAAGAAAGAAAGAAAGAAAGAAAGTAAAGGCTAGAACTTCTTTTACTCATCCCCATGCAAAGATAATGAAGAGTGAAAATAATACTGCAGGCAGGAGTTTGCATACCTAGGCTCTATCTAGCCCCTATCTACGGGATCTCATAGATAGGTTACTGAGCATTGTAATACATACTGCCTCATGGGACTAATGTGAGAATCAAATCCTGTTACACTTGGAAAGTATAATCATCAGCTCTATCACCAATCCCTTTAGATTCTCCAGTGTAGTCTCTTAGCAATGTTTTAATCATTATGTGTCAGGGGAGACAGAGCAGGGAGAAAATATAACCTACTACAGTTCTGACTAGTTGGGAGTTTGGTTCTTGTTTTACATGAGGAAGGAAAGTGGGGGAGAGGAGGGAAAGAAGGTAGGAAGGTTGTTCATAATGGGCAAAGAATAACCTCTTCCCAAAGGAAGGTTACACAAAGCCTTATTAATTAAGAACTCTCAAAATCATAAGCTCTTCTATTACTCATGCTGAAATTAACATTCTTCCCAGTTCAGATCCTGTAAAACTTTTTACTTTTAGCATATTTCAGAAAATTATGTAATAGTTTTATAGGTATATATTTATCTCTCCTACTCTACTGTACATGTGTCCAAACAGGGACTCATAGTATTTAGCCTTTAAAAGTTATTTGTGTTTTATTTTAACTGGGTCAACATCCAGTGAAATATAAAGCTAGATGGCTGAAGTTGTGCCTAGAGAACTGGAAGAAAGGGAAGAACTGAATGAAAAGACAAAATTATCTCCCTTTGGCTTCCCCCAACTCCACCTCTATTCTTGATTTCTCAGATCCTATGCAGAAGTTCTCTCTACTAATATTCTATATATCCACAAATTTATTTATGTATATTGTTACATTAGTGACACTTATAAATATACCATGTTTCACTCACTATGTGAAACACCAAATCGGTATTTTTTAAATAAGCAACCTCATTTGGCAAATAAATCTTGTGCCATACGTTCACCATATAAACCATGTCCAAGAAAACTACCATTTCTTAAAAGAAAAAAAATTGCACCTTCTGTGAATTTCCATTTCCATTTAAAGTCTCATTCTGAGGTAAATTATAATAACAATATTTTAATTTGTATAAAGCAGTTGTAAGTAAAAATCATATATTCAACTTTTATCCTTGTACTCACGATATGCCTTAACTTTCAAAAACGTTAGAAAAAGGATATCCTTGAAACAATGCCTAGCACCAAATACCAGAATTCATGTATCTTCTCCAATAATTCACAGAAACTTGTATTACAGTATAGAACAGCTATCATATGGAAGCACCGAATATTTCGGAATTTCACAGACTAGTCCATTTTTCCCCCACATTCCTTAAGAATCACCTGGGCAGGCTATTAAAAACAGATTACCACAGTCCTCCCCTAGAGATTCTGATTCAGTTGCTCTGGGCAAGACAAAAATCTTCATTCCTTAAAGTGATTTTGAGGATCAGCTAAGATTGTAAAACATTAATCCAGTAGAGTGGTTCTCAATTTGGCACATAACAGAATTACCTGAGGAGCTTTAAAAAATTGTCAAACCCAGGCTGAAGCTCAGACCAATAGAAATGAAATAAACACTTTTTAAAAAGCTTCCCACAGGAGGCTGAAAAACACTGACCTTGTAAGAACTTGAAAAATTCTTGTAGAACCCTCTCATCAACAAAGAAACTAGGCTTGCTCAAGTTTCCAAAGCTCAGGGGAGCTAGACCATTTCCTGACTCCCAATTCACTTTGTTTTTTGATGTAATTGTTTGTTTTCCACACAGGTTGACAGAAGAAAATGTGAAAAAGTTAAACTGTCTCTTCTTGCCTCAAAATAATACTGTCATTTAACAACTGAATAAGTTAAAATGAAGCTTACCTTTATTTCAGTAATCACTAGAACACATTATTTTCTTAGTCCTAATATAAAACAAAAAAAGACTAAATATCACTATTATTTAATCTTCAGTTCTTAGTACTAAACTGTTAATAAATCTTACAAAAACTTCTTCAAACTCTTTTTAACTTCTAATTCTATATTTCAAAATTCCAAATTCTTTTTAAAGTCTGGCATCACAGTTCCTTACTGGCCAAGTTATTTCAATACTTGAATTTGTTGACAAGGTTTCTTCATTATATAGAATACATAGTTCTACATATTGAAGCTGCTTTATGAACAGAGAACACACTTCTTTCTTCCATACAAAATAATGAACTTTAGGGTTTGTCCACAGATATTCTGAGTGGGAAATTCAGAATGGAAGATTTCTCAAAATATTAGTTAACCCATTCCAAGAATTCTGTCATTTTAATGACAAAATAATGTAAAATAATCATGAAAAATATCTCAAGTGCAAGCCTACATTGCCATAATTTTTAAGTGTTTTTTTACTTTCTAAAAATTACTGTTTGTTTAATTGACTTGTCTTCTGGAGCTCTACTTTCATCACTAGGATATCAAAGTTTTTGAAATATTTTTACCACTCTAAAGGTTGCCAAACGTTTAGATATTTCAAATTTCAGTGATTGTCATTTCTGCTTGTGGGGTTTAAAAAAAAAAGCGTGTGGACTGCTTCACAAAAATCTTATCACATTACTCCACAGGTAAAACTTAGGCAATCTGCATCTAGTTTAGACAAGAGTACAATGTATACTTTTGATTACTTCTATTTACAAAGGAGTAATTGCCAGGTTCCATATTTTTAAATATTCTAAATAAGAATTAGATGCAACAGATTTTATTGCAGTAATTTAATGAACTAAAACTCTTTGTTTTTACAAGGTAGGCAGCATAGTAAATTAAAAACCTAACCAAAACTTAAGTATGCTATTTGCGCTTTTTAAAATATGAAAATACCCCCCAAAGCACTAAAAGGAAACAAGAATGCGCCCTTAAAGCAAAAATAAAATATCAGAATCTCCATTAAATGTTCAAATTATACACAGTACTTAGAAAATGCAGTTAGAGGGGATAATCCGGGGAGGTTTTTACTTTAAAAGAAAGCTGTGCTACACTAAGGTCTGAGAAGCCTCCGTATTTTGTGTTAACATTTTTAACTTGAAACTCAAATTCTGAGGAGTAAGACTATAAATACATGGCCTTTGGGGGTTGTTTAAAATTTTCCTTAAAAAAAAAAAAAAAGTTTATTTTTAGGAGTGTGCTAGGGCAGCAAAGAGAACACCCGCTATTACAAATTCCTGGCTGGTCCCATCTGGAAGCGCACGGCGGACCCTGGGCTCGGAGAGGCTTCGTTTCAGCCCAGGCTGGACCGCAGCACCGAGCCAGCACGCGGGAGGCGCCGGGCGCAGACCGAGCGGCAGACGGAGCCGCCCGGGGGCGGGGGGCTCGCACGTGCCGGCCGGGGGCGGGGCCGGCCGGAAAGGACCCCGGCGCGGGGAGGCGGGCGCGGCCGGGCCGACCTCCCCCGCGGCCGCCAGCCTGGGCTTTACATAAGGGCGCACGTCATGGAACTGATGGAGCCACACAGAGACGTCTAAGTCATGCAGGAGGCGCGCGGCCCCGGCCCGCTCCCGCCGCCCCAGACCCCTCCTCTCATCCGACAGAAAGACAGACAAGAAGGGTTCCCGACCTGTCGTGCCCTGCATGTTCAGAGTCTGTCATGTTTGGTCAAGAACGGGGCGGGGCTGGAGGACAGGTCTGCGAGGCCGGCGGCGGAGCGCGGGGAGGACCCCTGCGCCGCCTGCGGGTACCTGCTCCCGGCCGCCGCCGAGAGGTGACGAAGTGGTAAAAACTCACGGTTACTAGTGAGCGACACAGACACAGACTTTCCAGTCTATTAACAACCACGCCAGAGAGATGGGGCTCTAACTGCAAACACTGGGCAACGCCCCGCGCTGCCGGCGCTGCCGCTTTAGTCTCTATTCGCCGCCGGTGGCTGAGGCTTGGGAGCGGGCGGGCGGGCGGCGTGCAGCGACGCGGGGATTTGGACACTGGCCGTAACGGTGATTTCTCCTCACCAACATGGCGGCACCCGAGACAGGCGGCTCGATAAAATGGCGCCTGCCGCAACACCTAGCCCGGGACTAAAGGGCAGAAGAGATTCCTCCGCGTGCCGCGGCCCTTGCCCGGCCCGTTGGGGCCGAGCGCGTTGGCCATTGGAGGAGGAAGCCCGTCAATCACTCCCAGGGGCGGGTTCCCATCCTTCTCTGTGAAGCGGCGGAGGCGGCAGCCAGCTGGCGGGGCCAGGCGGAGCCTTGGTAGCACTGGGCGGGGGAGGAGGCCTGCAAGCCCGGTGCTGTTGATCCGCGCCTCTGGGCCTAGCTCGTGCTGGCCCGCTGGGAAACGGGCGCGGGGGCTCAAGACGCGCCCTAAAAAAGGGCTCCTAAAGCCATTCTGCCGCGTGGTTTGGGTGGGGTGATGAAGAACAGGCGGGTGTTGAGTCATTTTAAAAAATCACTTCGATCGCTTAAATAATGGGAAAATGTGCTTCCTCTACAAGTTAGCGCCTTTTTTTTTTTGTAATGTCTGGTGCTGATAATTGCGTTTTGAAGAAAATAGCTTGGCATGTGACTTTCTGATACTAAATTTACTTACCCAATTATTAAATAATAATATTAATAAGAGTAAAAGAAAAATCAGATTTATTTAGTTAAAACAATATTCCATATGTGAAATATACACGAATATTTTGTAAATAAAAACTAGCCATCAGATGTCTTTATACTTGTGACCTGACCTTTGGCGATAATTTTTTAACGACAAGTCAATGTTTTGGCCTATTTAGTAAATAAACTTCTGAAGCAAAGCTCCTTGTTTTGTAATGGAATGATTAACTTAATGGTAAGTTCTCTCAGATATCTTTGTGGTGGTGAATGCATTTGACTAACAAATGCAGTCCATTCAGAAGCAATCGCAATTAGTAAATTAAATTTAAAAATAAAAAATTTGGATATGTACATTGAAAAAGAGAAAAGAAATTGCGCTTTTTTTTGCTGTTGTTAAATTGAATGCAGCCATTGACAAGACCTGCACACTGATAGATAATTCTGCAGGCGCTTGCCACATTTTGACATAATACATTACTAGGAAACTTCCAGAAAGCGGACCTATTTTGTCTGGAGTAACAATAATTAGCATTTGGAGTTAGATTAGAATCTCTAGGTCTTTGTCTATTGTAACTATTTTACTTAATTTAGGTCTTAGGGTAGCTAATTCAGATACCCCGCTTCTTATTCTCCCACACTCAAGGACTGAGCCATTCTGGTGCTCCCTCCCTTTATATATGTATTTTTAAATAGCTCTATTGATATAAAAGCATGTACCTGAAAATTTACCCATTTTAAGCGTGCAATTTAATGACTTTTAGTAGATTTTCCAAGTAATGCAGCTATCACCAACATTCAGTTTCAGAACATTCCATCCCCCCAAGTATCTTGCCACCCCTGCCTCAGGCAATGGATAATCTAATTTTGTTTCTATAGATTTGCCTTTTGAACATTTCCTGTAAATCGAATTATATGTTATTTCATTCTCCCTTTAAAAGACCCAGTCATGGGGCGCCTGGGTGGCTCAGTGGGTTAAGCCTTTACCTTGGCTCAGGTCATGATCTCACGGTCCTGGGATAGAGCCCCATGGTGGGCTCTCTGTTCAGCAGGGAGCCTGCTTCCTCCTCTCTCTCTCTGCCTGCATCTCTGCCTACTTGTGATCTCTCTCTCTTTCTGTCAAATAAATAAATAAAATCTTTAAAAAAAAAAAAAAAAAAAGGACCCAGTCATCTTTACATAATTTGAATGGAGTTCAGCCTTGTACCCTCAGTCAATAGTTTCTGAGTAAAATCAGTCTTTGCTACTTTAATGTCTGGCTTTGTTTATCTTTGACAGTCATCCCAGCCTTAATGCACACAAATATTGTAATCACTATAAAGGTGCCAACAGGGGAAGGAGTGCTACTGGCATCTAGTGGGGAGAGGCCAGGGATGCTGCTAAACATCCTTTTACACACAGGACTGTCAATTACTCAGCCCAAAATGTCAAAATGCTGACATTGAAAAACTCTGCTCTTGAGAAGCAGAACTCAAAGTTTTGAAGATTAGAAGCAAAAATTAAAAAAAAAAAAAAAGCAAAACTTCTACTAGGGTGTCACAGGGATAATAAAGGAAAGGTCGACTCCTATTTCCATGGTTTGATTCCCATGCCCATGAATCCTGACTATGGGAGAAACAGCACCATTTTTTTTTTTTTTGAAGATTTTATTTACTTATTTGAGAGAGAGGGAGCAAGAGAATGAGACAGAGGAGGAGTGGAGAAAGGTCAGTGGGAGAAGCAGACTCCCTGTTGAGCAGGGAACCCTGTGTGGGACTCGATCCCAGGACTCCAGGATGATGACCTGACCCGAAGGCAGTCACTCAACCAACTGAGCCACCAGGTGCCCCACAGCACCATATTATTGGTGGCTGATTTATAGCATATGTTCACAAAACATGTGCTTTGGATCTAGCTAGTACAGAAACTGGTACTCAAGAGACCATTCCACCATCTTCTTATGCCAATTGCTTTTTTGTGCGGTAAATTATATATAATACAAAATTTGCCATTTTAACCATTTTGATGTGACAATTCAGTGGCATTAACTACAGTCACACTGCTGTGCAACTATCACGGTCTACTTCCAAAATTTTTCATTGCCCGTAACAGAAACTAACCATCAAGCAATAACTCCCTCCCATCTCCCACTCTCCCAGCGCTGAAAGCCTCTAATCTATTATCTGTCTCTCTGATTTGCCCATTCCAAATACCTCATATAAGCGGAAATACAGTATTTATGTTTTTGAGCCCAGCTTATTTCACTTAGCATACTGTGTTCAAGGTTCATCGTGTTGTAGCATGTGTCTGAATTTCATTCCTTTCTATGGCTGAATAATGTTCCATTGTATGTATCTACTACATTTGATTTATCCAATACTTGGGATGTTTCCACCTACTGGCTCTTGTGAATAATGCTGCAATGAATAGGAGTATGCACATCTCTGTCTCAATCCCAGTTTTCAATTTTCTGGGGTATATACCCAGGAGTAGAATTGCTGGGTCATGTGATAATTCTATGTTTAGGCCAGCTGCTTTATAATGATAAGAGCATCGCTTATCTATTGCTGCATAGCAAATTATCCCTAAACTTTGTGGTTTAAAACATAAATGAGGGGTACCTGGGTGGTTTGGGCAGTTGAACATTTGCCTTTGGCTCAGGTCATGATCTCAGGGTCTTGGGATCAAGCCCCACGTTGGGCTCCCTGCCCAGCAGGGAGTCTGCTTCTCCCTGTCTCTCTCTCCTGTGTGTATGCGCTCTCTCTCTCTCTCTATCTCATAAATAAAATCTTAAAAAAAAAAAAAACCCACAGTAAATGAGACAGGGACCTTAAGAAGAAGCCCCTATGTACCTGAGACTCTCCTGGGTGGCTGTTATTCTCTTGCAGAGCAACCTGTAGGATGTTAGCGCTTTTTCCTGCGGAACAAAGCACCGGCAAAAGGAACAAGCCTAGACCAGGTTCAGACTAGCCTAAGATAAAATGGGCAGCAAACTTACCTTTCACTGATTTTTTCCCTTATTATTATGCTAAAACACACACCCAGAGGTGGAGAAAACATGCAAATGAAACATAGGATAGAGGAAGAAGCACAGTTTTGTCAACTGGGCCTGTGTCCCCAATTCCCTGGAATTCCCTGTCCCTACGTGCTTAAACATCACTCCTTTCCCGCCTCAGCCCCTTTAAAAGTTTCCCTGGTTATTATTCAGAGAGAAGAGAGCATTTTATTTGGCCCCTTTGTCATGACTGTGTCTCCCTTCAGCTGCAGCTGTTGCCCCTATAATAAAGCCTTGCCTTCCCTGTGTTTTTAAATTTTGGGTCCAGCCTCATTTCTACCGTTGCTGGGTCCAAAGAACCGAGTCCAGTAACATAAACATTTATCTTCTTATTTACTTATTTTGGATCAGGAATCCTGGAGCTACTTATCTGAGTGGTTCTGTCCCAGAGTGTCTTATGAGATTGGAGTGGCACTGGCCCATCAGCTTCCAAGGTGGCCCACTCACACGGTCGGCTTTTCCCAGGCTGCAGGAGTGTTTTCTGAGATAGTGACTGACTTTCCTTCATGTAGGCGATTCAAGAGAGGAAGGCAGAAACTGCAGTGCTTTTTACCACCTAGTCTCAGAAGTTGGGCACCATCTAACACTGTGTATTTTGGAAGTCACCGGATCTAGTTCACATTTAAGGAGAGGGGAATAGGCTCCATCTTTTGATGGGATAAGTGTTAAAAGAATTATGAACACATTTTAAGAGTACCAACCATCTATTGAATTTTTAATGTCATATCATATTTTTAACTTCTGAAAGCTCTACTTGGCTCCTTTCCACTCCTTTTTATTTTTTTTTACAGATTTTATTTATTTATTTGACAGACAGAGATCACAAGTAGGCAGAGAGGCAAGCAGAGAGAGAGGGGGAAGCAGGCTCCCTGCTGAGCAAAGAGCCCAATGTGGGGCTCGATTCCAGAACCCTGAGATCATGACCCGAACCGAAGGCACTGGGTCATGTGACTGAGCCACCCAGGCGCCCCTCTTTTCCACTCCTTAATGTCACTTTTTATAGTTCCCTTTTTGTCAGGTTTTGCTGTATAATAAGCTTCTTTTAAAACATGGTAGCTTAAAACAACTATTTAGCTTACAATGTTGGTCACAGTTTGGACTGGGATCATCTGCGAGGTTCTTCAGTTCTTCAGTGGTCTCCATTGTGTGTCTGTGGTCAGCTGTGGGTTGACTTGGCAGCTTTGCTTTTAGGGCTTTGCTAGCTGTAGACTGGATGTTGCTGTTCTCCTCCTTTTGTCTTATCCTCCACATGTCTCTCCCTTCTCTTCAGCAAGGTGGCCTGGGCTTATTGTTCTGGAGAAGGCAGGAGTTCAAGAGAGAGCAGACACACACACGGCCTCTTAGGGGCCCAGCTTGGCATTGGCAAGGCTTTTCTGCTCCATTCTATTAGCAAAAGTAGGTTATGAATTCAACTCAGATGAAAGAGGTGGTGAAATAGATCCCGCCACTTGATGGGAAGAGCTACAAAGTCATATTGCAAAGGATGTGGGTATAGGAAAAGGTAGAGAATTGGGCCCATTTTTTGAAATTTTATTTATTTCTTTTTACACAGAGAGACACAGCGAGAGAGGGAACAGAAGCAGGGGGAGTGGAGAGGGAGAAACAGGCTTCCCATTGAGCAGGGAGCTCAAAAGCACTCTAATGGTCTTAAGTGTACTTTTCTTCAAGCCTATGCACTCCTTGCTTGCTGATTTAAGTCCCTTAGTCTATAGCAGAACCAGCCTTTCCTTGAGATATGCAGATGGTTGACAGATGTTTCAAAGACCATCTTCCCTGTCCAGGTGAAGCTGGAAGGCTTTAATGGGGAAGGCATGGGAAAGAGAGGAGGGCTACTTGCAGAAGCAGGTGCCCAGATGCTTAGTCATACGTTGAAATGACCCTGAATAGAACTGGGGGCATCAGCAGCAGCTGTTTTCAAATGTAGTAGGCCTTATCTTCTGGGAAAGTTTGGAAGACCAGTGATCTGTGCTGTAACAAATCTATCACAAACATACTTTGCCTTTTATAGTCTTTATCTAAAAAGGATAGTATCTGATGCCTTTGCAGGTCAGTTTTTCTTGCTACATTTGCTGCTTTTTACCTACCATTTTAATTTTTTTCCACAGACTGGTTATCTTTTGCTGTACACTGGACTTTTTAAAAATGAAAATGTATGGATGATAATAATCTGAGTTCTGTAGTATAGTACTTTCCTCCAAATGGGGTAATGCCTTAATTCATTTCAATTTTCCTCTCAATTTTTAGTAATGACTGATGTACAAGAAAGGATTGCCTATAATATAAACAACAGGAGAAAGTACAACTTCTCTTCGCTTGTCTGGGAAGTGGACCCTGATTCGTGCTGGGAATGAAACAGTCGCTCACTAGTAGGAGCCCGTCGGGTTCGATGTCTAGCGTTTGAGGCTTTCATGATTCCCACAACTTCCACTCTTCCACAGGCATTGGAGTAAGCAAAACTCAACAGTTCCTTTTCCCAAATGCGTGCTCTGTTTTCCGGCCTTGATACTATTCTCTCCACATGGAATACCCACTTACCCCTAATGAAAGTGAAAGAACTCCCAAGGACTGACTCCCAAGGATTCACGTTAAAAATTCCAACTAATATGTTAGCTAACAGATCAAAATGCACACCAACAAAAACACAAACAAACAACAAAAACCCCAATTACCCTTGCGCCTGCGCAGAGCCGCGGGGAAGGAGCGAGCGGACGTGCGCGGGGGGCGGGGCGGCGCATGCGCGGGGCGACCTGCGGCCGGGGCCGGGAGCTGGGTCCCTCCTCCTCACGCGGTGGTTGTTACTCTACCTGCCGGGCCCTCGCGAGGGTGATGGATTTTGAGAATCTTTTCTCCAAACCCCCCAACCCGGCCCTGGGTAAAAAACCGACCACGGACTTTGATGAAAGGTGATTCCCCATCTTTTCATGCTTTGATCGCAGGGGCCACAGTCGGATTCCGCGTTTTGGTTCCATTCGGAGGCAGCCCGGGCCGCGTGTGGGCCACGCCGCTGGGTCGTGCGGGGAGTGCGTGGGCGAGCGTGTGGGGGTCAGCCTGGCAGGCGCGGGGGTCGGACGTGGAGAGGTCGCTGTGGAGCCGCGGGAACGGAAACCGGCAATGGGGCCTGGTTCGTAAGCCGCCACGGCCAGAGGTGCCGGGACCCTGCTTCAGGGGACCAGCGGTTCCAGGGAGCGATCGCAGGAGGCTCCCCTTTCCCTGCGCTCCTGACCCTGGAGACTCGGTTGGAAACCTCCGTGTGTTCCCACATTACTCTTCTTTCCACCGGACCGTCAGCTCGTAGGGGACAGATGATTTGTCACTTCTCACTGACACATGTTAAACACCTTTTTTTGTTTGTTTGTTCAAGAAAAACCCGAAACCCTAAGTTTATTAAGCAATGAGGGTAAATAGTAAATAATTTGCCTTTAGTTCATTGATTTGCATCAGAAGACCCTAAAGACCACAGTAAAGCAGCAGACATCATTTGGATGTAATGTTTCCTTTAGGTTGAGAGAGGGACTGACGCTACTAGCCAAATGGTGCTAATTTATTGTTCTCATTTAGAGAGGTGTATAGTGTAATTTATTTACACCCAGATACTCATTTACTTTGTTTCTGTTTGAAGTGCTAAAAACCAACTTCTAAACCTGTGTGTTTTCCCCAGTTTCCTTAAGCTGAAACGGAGACACACAGCCTTTTGTTCCTTTATTTCACTCATTCTCTTAGTCTGGTTGATTTTTACTTCCTGATATCGCTCAGATTTGTTCACTTATACCTTAATTGAAACTATTACCTTAATTCAGGCTGCCATCAAAAGTTTTACTAAGTGCTTTATGTGAAATATGTCATTTAATCTTAACCTTGAAGAGAAGAAACTGTCCTTGTTTTTGCAGATGAGAAAATTGAGGCACGGAGAGGAACATAACTTGCCAAGATTGCACAATTTAAGTGGCAAAGCTAGGACCAAGTTGCCCATGATTTGATTTCTTTGTTTCTAAGGCAAAATAACTAACATAAAATAAGATCTACAAATACTGAAAAGAGAGAAAGACATTAATAACTTACAGATGATATGATCCACCTACAAAGGAAAACAAGAGGAACGTTAATAAACTATTAAAATCCGTAAGAGAATTCAGCAAGGTGAATCATCACAAGACAATAGCCACATGTTAGAAAACAATAGCATCTATCAGTTTGAAAATGTGTGGGACAGAAGAGTCTATTCATAAAAACCGTACTAAACTACATAAAAGACACTTCTGAATTTTTGCCCAAATGTTAGATGTGGAATGGTATTGAAGTATGAAAAGCATCTGTGAACAGTTCCTTGTTCATATCCTTTGCCTGTTTTTCTCTTCATTGGTCCTTCTCTTTAAAATTTTAGGAACTCTTATCAGCAGATATTTTACTTCGTATTTGTTATTTGCCTTTTGACTCTGTTTATGGCATTATTTTCATTGCATAAAGGATTTTTTTTGTTTGTTTTAAATAAGTTTATAGGAATCAATCTTTTATGGTTTCTGAGTTTTTTCTTAGTAATTTTATGAGGGGATTACTTATTTCTTGAGCACCTGCCATTATCCTAGGCCCTGGGGCTATAGCAATAAATAAACAAAAGAGATAAAAATCTCCATATTCATGAGATTTATATCCCCCCCCCCAATGCATAAATAGATAGTATTTTGTGTGATGATAAATACCATGGAGAAAATGAAAGCTGGGTAGCAGGGAAGGAAGAGAGGATGGGATGGCAGGGAGAATGTAGATATTTTATTTTTTAGAAGATTTTATTTCTTTGACAGAAAGAGATCACAAGTAGGCAGAGCAGCAGGCAGAGAGAGGGGGAAGCAGACTCTGCTGAGCAGAGAGCCCAGTGCAGGGCTTGATCCCAGGACCCTGAGATCATGACCTGAGCTGAAGGCAGAGGCTTAACCCACTGAGCCACCCTGGTATCCTGAATGCAGGTATTTTAAAGAAGATAGTTAAAGCCTTTGTAATATCATTGATAAGTAATACTTGAGTAGGGGAGTGAGGCAGGTTGGTTTCTAGCGGAGAGAATATAAAGGTCCATATAAAGGTCTTGAGGTGGAGTGAGCGTGGTGTGATTGGGTGATGGGAACAAAGTGGCCAGAATGACAGCTGGAGTGGAGTTCAAGGAGCAGGACTTGAAGAGAAGTAGGACTTAAGAGTTACTGGGGGATATGGTCAGGGAGGTAGATCATGTAGGGACTTGTAGGTGCCATAAGGACTTTGGCTTTTACCCTGAATGAGATGAAAGGCTATTAGAAAGTTTGCAACAAGAGTGACATTTTAGCAGGGTCATTGTGGTTGTGTTGAGAGTAGAATGTAACAGGGCAAGAGTAGCTTGGATCATAGTATTAGTAGTAAGAAGTGGTCAAATAAGGATATATTTTGAAGATAAACTGGATTTTTCACAGATTGGATGGGGGATATGGAAGGAGTATAAGTTACTACAAGGTTTGGGGTCAGTATCATTAGAAGAACGGATTTGCTATTTAAAATAACAGGAGAGGAGCACCCGGGTGGCTCAGTTGGTTGAGCGTCTGCCTTTGGCTCAGGTCATCATCCCAGGATGAGTCCTGGGTCCTGAGTCCTGTGTCCAGAGTCCGGTGTCAGGCTCTCTGCTCAGCAGGGACTCTGCTTCTCCCTCTCCCTCTGCCATTCCCCCCACTCGTGCATGCTCTTTCTCTCTCAAATAAATGAATAAAATCTTAAAACAAAACAAAACAAAAAACCCCAGCATGATTAAGTCAAGAGTTGAGTTTGGGCTTTATTAAAAATATGCCAAGCAGCTATCCAGGTGGATGTATTGACTAGGAAGTTGGCTTTGCCTGTCTGGGCCCAGAGCTCAGCTCTACCTATTTACTAGGTGTATGGCAAGTTCTGTAAGCTTCCTGTAATTCTGTTTTCATCTGTAAAATAGGCTTTCCACCACAGTATGTATGTCATAGGGCTGTTGTGATGTGGGTAATGTGTGCAGACTCGCTTCTGGCACAGGGTAAGCACGATAAGTGTCAGGGGCTGCTGTCACTGCCCTTGGAGTCATCATTGTCAGTATTGCTTTGCCTCCGGAGAGGCTGCTTCCTACTCCATAAGATGATTCATTACTCATAACTGGAGTAGTGAAGGTTCACAGTATGTGGCTTATTGGGTCTTGTGATGGCTTCTGTAGAGGCTCACATCTTGGCGCCTTATCTGAGATGAAGCTCTGAGACTCTGACTAGGGACAGATCACTGGTAAATTGTTGAATTGGATGGAGCTGGAAAGCCTGAGCTCCTCCTGTAACTTTGCAGGTAGCTCAGAGCCATTATTCACATTCTTGTGCTAGTAGTACATTCTAGTTGTAACATGTTTTTCGAGAATGTACACATTGCTTCCTCCTTGCCTTTATCTGGCATGGAACTCCTCTCTTAAACTTTTATTCAGAAGTCACTCCTCATCCAGACACAATTGCTTTCAGCCCCTTGTATTTATGGTGTAAACCGTTACTTAGATATACCTATAAATTTCAGTGACATTTTTGTTCATCACCTTACCACCTTCATCTTTCTTGGGTTCATTTTTAGTTTTGTTAGAATATCCTCAGGTTATTGTCTCAGGCAATGTCTCTCTGTGTATTTGACTTCTCTGTGCTTGTGAGTCTGGAAACAACTTTTGTCATCTTCCCACTTGAATGTAAGTTAGGCTCTCTCCTGACCTTGAAAGGCACATTGCGTTCTACCTGAAATACTGCTCTTTGTGATGGTCCTCTTTGTTTGCTAACTTTTCTTCCTTCCTCCCCCCTTCCTTCCTTCCTTTCTTTCTTTCTTTCTTTCTTTCTTTCTTTCTTTCTTTCTTGATTTTATTTTTTTGAGAGGGAGTGCATGGGAGGGAGCAGAGGGAGAGGGAGAGAGACAAGCAGGCTCCTTGCTGAGCAGAGATCTTGATTCCAGGCTTGTTCCCAGGACCCTAGGATCAGGGCTTGAGCAGACGCTTAACCAACTGAGCCACCCAGGTGCCCCTCTAACTTTTTAAAAAAGTTGATTGATTGATTTTAAGTAATCTCTACACCCAACATGGGGCTGAAAGTCACAACCTGGAGATCACGAGTCACACACTCTACCAACTGAGCCAGCCAGGTGCCTCTGTTTGCTAACTCTTACATATATATATATATATGTGTGTGTGTGTGTGTGTGTGTGTGTATATATATATATATATACACACACATATACACTTTTTTTTTTTTTTGCAGGGTAGGAGTCTTTATTTTTTATTTTTTATTTTTTTCTTACATATCTTTAAAGGTTAGAAGATCCTTGACCAGTTAAGTGTTCCTCATGTATGTACCTATGCTTAACATACTATATTAAAATTGCTTTATTTTTTTTCTCCCAAGCACATAGAAAGTTCTCAGAAGGCAGGGACCAGGTGTTTTTCATTGTTGTATCCCAGGATTTAAGGCCTACAGCCTGGTATATGGCAGATACTCAGTATCTGTTGAATGAATGCAGTGATGAATGAATGGGTGGTTTATATAGCTCCTGTTACTAGACCATGAAGGTTATGTAATCTATAATTTCAGCTTTCTGATTTACTTAGAAGCACATGTTGACATGTACTGCTCATCCTAAATTTGTATATTATTCCTTGGAGTATTTAGAGTAGAATTTGAGTTTGGAATTTCTTTGAGGGCAAGTAGAAGATAAGCCAAAGCCATTCATTTTACTGCTATGGTATGAACCATTTTCAGATTGAAAAAAACTTCTTATGTTCATTTGATATTTTTGCTGCAGAATCGATGATGGAATAGATGATGCAGAAGTTGAAGAAACACAAGAAGAGAAAAGAAAAACACAAGAAGAGAAAATAAAATGGGAAGTAAAACTGGAATGTGAGCAAATACCCAAAAAAGTAAGATTAAGTTGGCATTTTGAAAAAAATGGAGAGGAATGGTGTGAGAAATTTGTTAGGAATCCTGTTTGTCCCAGTTTAGTCAGCATTGGAGATCTAGGTTGGCTTATATCAAGGAAACCTGATAACACTTCAGAAAATTTGTCATTCAGTCATTTAACATGAACTGTTTTATTTTAGTGTATTGCTTTTATTTTGGTTTCCCCTGTTTCTGAAGTGGGTTGTAAATGGTTTCAAAAAACTTCTCTTTCCAAATTAGGTCATAATTTTTAAGGATTTTGATTTGGTAATAACTTAACTAACCTTACTGATTTATAGCTTAAAGCTTGTGTTACTTTGTTAGGACTGCCCTAACAAAGGACTGCAAATTGGGTGAATTATGCAACAGAATTTGTCTTGTGTTTCTGGAGACTGGAAGTCTGAGATCAAGGTGTTGGCAGAGTTGGCTTCTTCTGAGGGCTAATGAGGGAGAATCTGTTTCATGCTCCTCCGGGAGTTTCTGGTGGTTTGCTGGCAGTCTTTGGTATTCCTTGGCATGGCTTCCAGAAGCATCACCTTGATCTTTATCTTCATATTCGAATTGTGTTCTCCCTATGTTCATATGTCTGTGTCTAAATATACCCTTTTTATAAGGACACCGGTCATAATGGATTACAACTTACCCTAATGACGTCATCTTAACCAACTACACATGTAATGGCCCTATTTCCAGATAAGGCCACATAGTAAGGTACTGACTGTTACGAGTTCATCAGGAGAATTTGGGGAGGACACAGTCAACCCCTAACAGCCAATATCTGCTCCTCTCTTGCCTCTCTTTGAACTTTTTTTTAATTGTGAAAAAAATTTTTTTTTAAAGATTTTATTTGTCAGAGAGAGAGAGCGCGCAGCAGACAGAGGGAGAAGCAGACATCCTCCTGAGCAAGAAGCCCCGGTGCAGAACTTGATCCCAGGACCCTGGGATCATGATCTGAGCCAAAAGCAGCCACTTAACCAACTGAGCTACCCAGGCATCCCTTTTATTGTGGATTTTAACACACCACAAAATGATGGGTTTGAATTGGCAGTGAGACTCAAAAGACACAAATAGGCTTTAATGTGATCCTCTTACACTTAGCTTCATAAAAGTGTACAAGACAGAAAGTACAAGACATACGGTATCCTTATCTCCTCAGCAAGCCTCTCAACTACCCAAGTATATAACTTGTTTCACCCTTTGGGGCATGTATGGCTGTTGTGGACCAGAGGCAGGGTCTTAACCCTGAAAATCTGTGGTCTGGATTTTCCTCCATTTTTTTTTTAAAGATTTATTTATTTGTGAGAAAGAGCGCATACACGTGTGAGAGAGCGTATGAGTGGGGAAAGGGGCAGAGAGAGAGAAAATCTCAAACAGGCTCTACGTTCAGCATGGAGCCCTAGTCAGAGCTTGATCTCACGACCCCGAGATCATGACCCAAGCCGAAACCAAGAGCCTGACACTCAACCGACTAAGCCACCCATGCGTATTTTTTTTTTTTAATACTGTTTTAGTCTCATAGACCCTAGTCCTTCATGCCCAGTTAAAGGTCCCTAATCCAAGTATAACCCAATATAGGACATAGGCAGGTGGAACACACTATGGTTACTTAAAATAGATTCCAATAAACAGTTCTGTGACTAGATGGACACCTGCATTATTCCTAAGTAGGCTTGCTTTGGCCCAGGCTCTTTACTCACAAGTTGTAAAACATCAATGTGCCATATCACAGCTGACTAAAAAGAGAACACTCAGGTAGAGACTTTGCTAATTCAAGAAAGAACATTGCTCGCAAAGCCTCTAATGCCTTCTTTCTCAGTCATTATTCCTTTGTTTCCCCCCAGAAGTAACTAGGATCCTAACTTGCATGCTAATCACTTCCTTGCCCTTCTTTACAGTTTTAGTTTTACTACTAATGCTGTCAGCCTTAAAAATAGTTTTTCCTTGCCACTTTTTACACTTTATAGAAATAGAATAATATTGTATGTGTTCTTTCTGTTGTCTTTTTCCCAACATTGTATTTATAAGATTCATAGATGTATACTTGTCTGTTTATTTTCTGAGCTGGATAGTATTCCATTATTGAATATACTAGATTTCGTTGTTGGTCGACATTTGGTCTGATTTTCCATTTTTGGAGGTTATGGGTAGTGCTGCTACGTTCTTTCGCTTGTATCCTGTTGCCCATGCGCTCTATAGTTACCAAAGTGTAAAACTGCTGGGTCTTAGAGTGTAAGCATCTTTACCTTTACCTTAATGCCAAACTGTCCTCCAATCCAAAGTGGTTCTACCAATTTTATTGCCAGAGGGACTGTATTTCTGCTGCTCCTCACTTGGTATTGTCACCCATCGTATTTTTCACCATCTGATGAAGTAACTCATTGTAACTAAGTTTGCATTTTCTTGATCACTGTTGGGATGGAGCATCTTTTCATATGCTGGTCCATTTGGATTTCCCTTTTTTTAGTGCCTGTTCAGATGTTTTTGTCTCATAATTACTGGTTTGTCTGTGGTTTTTTTTTTTTCCTTGATTTGTAGTTCTTTATTTTGGATCATAAGGGTTTTTTTTCCTTTTATTGTGGGTTATGTGTTGCAAATATCTGCTCATTTTGTGTCATTACACAATGGTATTTTTTCATTAAAAGTTCAGAATGTTAGCATATTCAAATTTATTAATGTTCTTTATAGTTAGTGTTTTATTCAGATATCCCAAGATAATAAAAATCTTTTACTGTGATGTCTTCCAAAAGATTTATTGTTTTGCTTTTCACATTTAAGTTTGCAGCCATCTGTAATTGATTTTTCTATTTGTAACTGTGAAGTAGGGGTGACAAATTTTGTTTTACTTTTTTCTTTTTCATGGTATCATATCCAGTTGTTCCAGCACCATTCACTGAGGGGAAAGAATTGTCTTTCCCCACACTGGTCTGCAGTGTCACCATTGTCAAAATCAAGTGCTCATGTTTGATGGGTTTGTTTCTGGACTCCGTTTGCTTTTTTTTTTTTTAAATTAATTAATTTATTTATTTGACAGAGATCACAAGTGGGCAGAGCGGTAGGCGGGGTGGGGTGGGGGAGCAGGCTCCCTGCTGAGCAGAGAGCACAATGCGGGGCTTGATCCCAGGACCCTGGGATCATGACCTGAGCCAAAGGCAGAGGCTTTAACCCATTGAGCCACCCAGGTACCCCAGGGACTCCGTTTACTTCTGCTGGTTTATCTCTTTAGCCCTCCCCCAGGACCTCACCATGTTAATTACTGCAGCTTTATAATAAGTTTGGATGTCAAGTAACCAAATCCTCTCCCCTTGTTCTTCTTCCTTAAGTGTCTTGGGTATTTTTTTAGCCCTTTGTATTTCTTTTTTTTTTTCCCTCTTGTTATTTTTATTTACATTTATTCCATGCAGAATATACTCCCTGGCCATAAGTTTTTGTTTCTTCAGTCTCTTCTGGAATGTCTTTTTCTTTTTTTTTTTTTTTAAATATTTTATTTATTTATTTGACAGAGAGATCACAAGTAGGCAAAGAGGCAGGCAGAGAGAGAGAGAAGGAGAGAGAGAGGAGGAAGCAGGCTCTCTGCCGAGCAGAGAGCCCGATGCGGGACTCGATCCCAGGACCCTGAGATCATGACCTGAGCCGAAAGCAGAGGCTTAACCCACTGAGCCACCCAGGCACCCTGGAATGTCTTTTTCTTCTGTGCAAACTCCTCTCCTGGTTTAGGAACAATGTGCTCTTTTTCAGTAAGGATCATCTCGATGAGGCAGGGAGAGCTCATATACGGGTTAATCCGACCGTGAGCCCTCCAAATTCTACGCTGCGTCTTGGGGGCTTTGCTCACCTGGCTATACTCAATGACCAGAGAGAGAATTGATATATAAACCCTTAAGTTCAGCATTACTCTCTGCATTTTTAAGCAGTAAAAATTCAGCACTCTTCTTGGGCCGTCGACCTTGTGTCCAGCCCCACGTTCGGCCTGGGCACACCTCCCAACTCCACCACTGTAGTGATGGAATGTACACACTGCTTATGCAAAGTGATATCTTTTAGATACTTGGTGGCTTTTCAGATATGCATGCTCTGGGTGGCCTGGGCATTTTCATGTGTGTTCTTAAAGTGAACAGAAAGATTTGAACCTCTTGATTTGCATGATTTTTTAGGGTTTTCTAGGTCAAACAAAGAGCGAACCATTTTCAGAGGTCACCTCAGGGCAGTTAGGGGAAGAGAGGCCTTTTGCATTTCTATATGAATTTTAGAATCAGTTTGTCAAGTTCCTTGGAAAATCCTGGTCAGATTTTCATTGGGAATGCATTTAATCTACAGATCATTTGGAAGAGAATTGACATCTTTAGAATGTTGAATTGCCTAATCTTTAGGTCCTCTAATTTCTCTCAACAGTGTTTTGTAATTTTCTTTGTAGCTATTTTACATCTTCTATACTTTTTGTTAGGCTTATTGCTAGGTGTTTGATGAGGCTATTATAAATTACATCTTTTTTTTAAGCATCATTTTCTAAATTGTGGGTTTCTCATAATTTAACTATTCAAGAGTTCTTTCTTGTTCTTTGTTTTGATGTTAGAGCTTTCTGGCCTCTTTTTCATATATAATGTCTTGAATGTCTTTATGGTCTGTTTTGCAGCTACTCAACTCTTCTTATATAATGTGAAAGCAGCTAGTCCAGTATGTAAATGAATGAGTGTGGCTGTGTTCCACTAAATTTTCTTTATGGATGCTGAAGTTTGAATTTTGTATAACTTTCATTGTCATGAAATGTTATTCTTTTGTGTTTTTTCCTCCAACCATTTAAAAAAATCTGAGGACCATTTTTAGCTGGCTGACCATTACAGAAACAGGTGGTAAGATGGATTTGGCCTTGGGATCATAATTTAATGACACCTGCTCTAAAGTTTTGTGATGTGTTTTAGTGTTCCTTCATTGTCCCTTGATTTAAGAAAGGCTGGAAGAGTTGATGGATGGCCTTTGCTTGTGTGTTAGTGGGTCTGTGTCTCTATAGGCTTTTCCTCCAGATGGGAAGCCTGATTGGACATTCAGTACATGGGTGGGCTGTGTGGATAGGTAAGTTTCCTCCAGCATAGTAGTTCTTTTTTTTTTTTTTCCCCCCAATATAGTAGTTCTTAACCTTCATTGTGCTCTGTACTCCTTTTGGTAGCCTGGTGAAGCCCATGGATCCCTTCTCAAAATCATGTTTTTTTTACTGAATAAAATGAAATACATTGGATTACAAAGGAAATTTACTTTTTTTTTTTTTTAAAGATTTTATTTATTTATCTGACAGAGATCACAAGTAGACGGAGAGGCAGGCAGAGAGAGAGAGAGGGAAGCAGGCTCCCTGCTGAGCAAAGAGCCCGATGCGGGACTCGATCCCAGGACCCTGAGATCATGACCTGAGCCGAAGGCAGCGGCTTAACCCACTGAGCCACCCAGGTGCCCCTAAAGGAAATTTACTTTATTGAAATACAGTTATCAAAAAAAATGTAGAAAGAATAATATGTTCTTCATTAATACACTTCATTAATACAAAATTACATTAAGTAATTAGAAGTTCCAGCAGTAGGTCTAACTATTGTAACTTTGACATAGTGGTGAACATAAAAGATATTTTGAGATTTGCAACAACTGTCATGTGATATATGAAAGTACTAGTGACAGTGGCAGATACTGCTGATACTACTGTTTGTTCCCTGTGTTCAGGACAGCAGAATGCTAAATGTCAACTTAGAGGTTGATGTAAATAATGTGTGGTTTTTACCCTCATTTGTTGTTCATTGAATTTTGCCCATAGACCCATGTGAGGAATCTCTTCTTGAAAGCAGGGTAGAACTTCTGTTGTACATTGAGTGGATAGAGTATATTTCTGGTAGGGGTTGCTCCCAAGTGCCGGAATGTGGAGGACTTCACTGTGGGGTCTTAGTACCCACACAAGAAGATCTGGCTTTATCAGACATTTTATTCCATTTCTTTATTTTCTTTTTTGCTTGGGGTAAATTTCTCTTTGAATGTATTCTGGGAAGGGAGGGGAAAGAGAGAATTTGTTACAATAGCTTTGTCTGTTTTTATTGTAGCATCTTAATCCATCCGAGTTTGTAGCCCCATTTCTCACACTTCAACTGAAGTCCAACATCCCAATTATAACTTGCTTTTTGTTTTTCAAAAACTTGCCAAGAATTTGTTAGACTTTTCTTAATTACTGATGAATGTACTTCATGTGCTCCCCCACCCCCCCCAGTATTATGGAACTATTTTTACATTTCTGTACTTTTATTTCTGTCGAGTCTCAGGGGGCCATACTATTCAACAAATTCTCCTGAATTAGAAATCTTTTCCTTAAAAAAGAACTTTATGTAGTCTCCTTCATTAAAGGGAAAAAAGTTTAGAATATTTATATGTTTTCTAAATTATATAGAGAACAACAAATATCAAAGTAATGAGTTTAGGGCTAGCTGCATGAAGAAAAGTATTAAAGCAGTCATTTGTATTTTGTGTCTTCATTGCCCTCTGAAAAGAATAATATCAATTAGTAATACTCATGTCTAATGTATAATAGTTGATGATTGTCCTGGTTTTGTTTATGTTGCCATGTCATCTTGCCTCTTCATTTATACAAATCAGACACATTATCACCTCTTAAGGGGGTGTCTGCTTTGGTACGTATTTTGTGTGTAAGGGAGCACTTACTCATTTGGATCATTGTGATATTATGATTCAGATGTACTGAATAGAATTTCATCTCTGTATTTGACTAAGCCAAACTTTGTGGGAGCTGTTGCAAAATTGAGTGATTTTCCCTGTGCCCACTAAATAAAATCAAAGGCCAGAAACAGGGTAAACATAATAATCATCCCAGGAATTGGCCAGCTTTTTCATAAATGACCAGGTAGTGCATCTTGTTGACTTTGTGAGCTGTATTGACTCTGTCACAACTAAACAGGTATAGATAACAGGGACGTGAATGAGTGGGTGTGACTGTATTCCAGCAAAACTTTGATTAACAAAAACAGGAGGCCAGGCTGACATCTGCAGACCTCTGGCCAGATGTTATGTTTACAAGTTTGTTCTATGGTATTGTTTTTTTAAAATGTGCCCTTTTGGGGCACCTGGGTGGCTCAGTGGGTTAAGCCTCTGCCTTCAGCTCAGGTCATGGTCTCAGGGTCCTGGGATTGAGCCCCACATCGGGCTCTCTGCTCAGTGGGGAGTCTGCTTCCCTCATCCCTCTGCCTGCCTCTCTGCCTCCTTGTGCTCTCTCTCTTTCTATCTGTCAAATAAATAATTAAAATCTTAAAAACAAACAAACAAACAAACAAACTGGGGCGCCTGGATGGCTCAGTGGGTTAAAGCCTCTGCCTTCCGTTCAGGTCATGATCCCAGGGTCCTGGGATCGAGCCCCGCGTGGGGCTTTCTGCTCAGCGGGGAGCCTGCTTCCTCCTCTCTCTCTCTGCCTTCCTCTCTACCAATTTGTGATCTCTGTCTGTCAGATAAATTAATAAAATCTTTAAAAAAAAATCTTAAAAAACAAAAAACAGCGCTCTTTCTTGAAAACTTGGAGACGGAACTTGGTGGCCTGATATTTTTGGATTGGTTAAAAGTCTTGTCTGGTATAATGAAGATGAGGTAGTAATGTACATTGGGGCCATTGTCAGGTTAGGAAACTGTCTCCACTTGATTCTTTACACAGGGAGCAAATTCATTTCATAGGCCTATGATCAGTCTTCTGGTGTACAGCTCCTAGCTTTGAAGTTAACATCAAAAGTAAGCCATGAAATTGGACCACGTGGTATAATTTATAATAGCGATTCTTCTGGTTTGTTTTTTGTTTGTTTTGAGTCTGCTGCCTTCATCAGTTAAGTGGAAGTAGATAAGAGTCCAGACCCCAGAGCACACTCTGGAGCAGGATCATTGGCCAGTTTAATGGTAGACATGTTATCTCTTCCTGACATCAAAATAGCCTTTTAGCACTTGGACGTTTCTTTATAAGCCTTTTAATTAAAACGTGTCATACATACTAACTGTAATTATACAACTTGATACCCTTGTGTCACCATGTGTAGACATGTATACCAATGTTTGGACTTTCTTGTACACAAAATACTTTAAGTTGTCTGCTGTGATCATCTCAGGCTGACTCAGGGTCAGCTGCCATACCTGGCTTCCTATTCCTGTGGGCGCCTGTGGTCACTTCTGTTGCCTTGGGGTTGCTGCACCAACAGAGTTAGAAAACTCTTTCTGAAAGTAAAGTTAACTTGATTACAGAGAAATGGGCATTTCTTTGTTCCTTGGCATCCGTGTGAGCCACCAACGCTGAGTTACAGGAAAAATAATGGGCTTTGCTAGCAGTGATGTATTTTAGTATAGTGGATTTTCACTTGGGCCATTACAGTTTACTTTTTTATGAAGTGTCGAGTTATTGAATTAAACCATTTAAAAGCAAAGGGAGAAATAAATATGAAGTATAATACTGTAGTTCAGTCAAATAAATTATATTAAATAATTAAGATTTGGGGGTTTACTCTTTGAATTCAGTAAATCATTACTGAATTCAGAATCTTCCATCAAATTTTTTTCAAGGATGGATATGCTCTGTTGGTTTTTGTTTTGTTTTTAGTTCTGGAACATTTTAAAAATGTAAGAGTGGAAAGAATAGTATACAAACCCCTATATACCCATTACCCAACCTCAGCAATGATCAGTTCATGGCCAGTCTTTATTTCTTCTTTATAACCAGATTGTTTTGAATCATGCCAGCTTTTTAAAATTGGAAATTTAATTTTTACTTAGTTTAGGCACTTTGGGAACTCCACAACATCCCCGAAAAATTTGCAATATAGAAAATCAAGAAGTAAGGACTATGATGTGTATAGTGATAATGAGACCTGCAGTCAGGAATCAGAAGATAATTTTGCTAAAGAGCTTCAGCAGTATATACAAGCTAAAGAAATGGCAAATGCCGCGCAATCCTTATCATTTCCTGAAGAATCAATGAAGAAAGAGGGAGTGAAGGATACCCAGAAAGGTAAGGGTGAAGCTATTTTGTCATTTAAAGTTTATGTAGACAATCAGTCACAGTTGTCCGTAAATGGACTGGGGTTTGGGGAGGGGGAGAGTTTCTCCTGCATTTTATCCCAAAGTAAGATCCTGTTTTCCTTAGGTCTTTATGCCCAGATGTGAGCTTGCATGGCCTGAGATGCCCACTCCAACCCCCCAACCTGGCCATTCAGTGTACCAATGCAGAGTTTACAGGAGGGTTATCAAAGCCCATGACTGCTTTGAAAGGGAGAAGGCTAAATCCTTAGCCTCCGCATTTATGAAGAACAAGATGTGCCTGTTTGTATTGCTCTCAGTTTAGAGAGGAATTGACTTAATATCTGATACTGTGGTGTGTCAGACTATATATTCTTTTAGATTACTAAAATAAAATATATTCTTTTAGATTACTAAAATGAAATTTAGTCATAGGTATGAAGACAAATGACAGCTACGGAAGACATTAATCCTCCATTTTACTGCCTTTTTTTTTTTTTTTTTTTGATGCTCTTATTTTCTTTTCTAACATAATCTGTACACTCACTGTGGGGCTCAAACTCACAATCCCAGGATCGAGAGTTGCACGCTCTACTGACTGAGCCAGCTGGGCTCCCCTGTGTTTGTATGTAGAAGGTTTTCAGTGAAAACCCTGACAGTAGTATATGAGGTAATTTTAAACATTTGAAGCTTTTGCTGCTAGAGTGCTATGGCAATTCCTAATTAGCTCCATAACACTCTGAACCCTTTAAAAGGATCTGGCTTATGGCAAGCAAGAGTCAGACGCTTAAGCAACTAAGCCACCCAGGCGCCCCTATAGAGTGTACCTTAGAGTAACCTGCTGTTGTGCCTTCATGTTCTCGTAAATTAAAATTAAACTTTTAACACTTAGTGTCTAAGATTTAAACACATAAGATAAATTTTCTTGTTTTCAGCTGTTAAACAAAAAACTAAAAACCCAAAAGCTGTCCAGAAGAATGGTAAGCAGAAGAAAATGAAGCGAAAACGGGCTGGTGTGGGCCAGAAAGGATCCAACACTTCCTTGCGGAACAGAAGCTCACAGGAACAGGTCGGTCCAAGAGTGCAGGCGTGTAGGAGGACACTTACTTGCAGCAGAATTTTTAATCTTACACCACCGTGATGAGCCACAGAACGAGGGTTCTCTGATGGTGAAAAATCTCCTCACCGTCAGTGGGCTCTCCCATGTTCTTCGCTGTCATGGTCACAGCTGCCTTCCCTCTCGCTCACCGTGGGTTAAGCCTTAGTGTTGTCCCTGTTTACCTGAATACGTGCATACGATTCCCTTGATTTTGGACTGTTGTACTGTCAGTGACTGGAAAAACAGGGGAAGAAGGGAGAAGATACAGAGCCCGAGGGAGCACTTCAAAAGTCCCCGAGTCTTACAGAGTTTCTTCTGTTGTGGTCCCTGTGGAAATGAAAAAGGAGTATTTCTGAGCATTGACCTTATAAAACACCCCAACCCTGCTGGTATTTTGATTTTGTTCTTTAGAACTTCCTCTTCCTTGGTTTGCAGATGTATTCAGGATAGGACAATAAGGACTCTGCTTTTCTGAGGGCTTCTAAACTAACCTTTTTTCTTAGGTTTGGTGCAGAAGACAAGAGTTAGGGGTGGTAAAATATTAGATCAAATATAATAGAAAAACATATTTACGTAAAAATCTTGCCTTGATTCCATATTTTATGAATGAGGAATCTGGGGGTTCAGGTAACTGCTCAGAGTCACACAGGGCCAGGCCATAGCTGGAACTTTATTTCCTGACCCCATCAGTATTCCCTGTGATTCTTTTGGTTTACATTGACTCAAATGATCATTCAGTGGACAGCTTTCCTACATGAGAAACGGATTATTCCATGTATGTTAGAATTTAATAACATAGTCAGATAAAACCAAGGATTTACACTGACCCGTTTATTAGACACAATTTTGATGGTGTTAAGTGGTAATTTGACTTTATTACAAAGCAGATCACATAAATGTAGTTAGGTCCCTTCTTTGCACATACTAAATTCGTAAAACTATTCAGAAATTTGGTATTGCAAGAGCTATAAACTACACACAAGTTAACACTAAAAATAGTTTATATTTCTGAAAAGCTAGAATGTATTATGAAATTCCCCTTTTGTTTTTATATAAAAGTCACCTTTTGTTTTTATATCTCTTTTGCCATCTTTGAGGTTTTATTTTTAGTAATGTTTGTTAACTTGAGCTGGTCATTATTCCCTCCTCTCACTCAGAGATCATCTCATTGGAATTAAAGAGCTCTCTGCTTTTGGTTCACCTTACAGTTTCCAGTTTTGTCTCCATTGTTAAGAGCCTTATTCCTAGACTTCGTTAAATTTTTTTATCTGATTTTTAAAAAAGATTTTATTTATTTATTTATTTGAGAGAATGAGAGAGAGAAAGAGAGAGGGTTAGGGGGAGAAGCAGAGTGAGCAGGGAGCCCAGTACAGGACTTGATCCTGGGACGGGAGTCACTTAGTGAAGGCAGTCACTTAACCAACTGAGCCACCCAGGTGCCCTTTTTTTAATCTGATTTTTAAAAATAAGGGCGGGGCACCTGGGTGACTCAGTGGGTTAAGCCTCTGCCTTCGGTTCAGGTCATGGTCTCAGGGTCCTGGGATTGAGCCCCACATCGGGGTCTCTGCTCAGGACGGAGCCTGCTTCCCCCTTTCTCTCTGCCTGGCTCTCTGCCCACTTGTGATCTCTCTCTCTCTGTCAAATAAATAAATAAAATCTTTTAAAAAAAATAAGGGCAAAGTATAATAAAATATTCAAATTGCACACACACTAATATTCAGTGCTGGAATGCTGTTATAATTGGCAGAATATTTATTTTTCAACTGATGTGTAAAAGTTCAGATCTTTCAAATAAAGGCCAATTTAGAAGAGTCACTTTATAATGTTTTAAAGGTGGTTAAAATGATTTTGTGCAATGGAATAAAATATTTAAATTTCTATTACTTACATTTAGTTCTTTGTTTTTGTTTTCAAAGGATGATAAACCTAAGGAGAAGCAGCCGCGTGTGAGAATGAGTCAGGGATTCATCAACCAACATACAGTGGAACGCAAGGGGAAACAAATTTGTAAATATTTTCTTGAAAGGAAATGTATTAAGGTATAAAAAACTATGTAAGCAAAAATATACTAAAATGTGAAGTATAACAAAAATGTACTAAAGCCAACTCCCATTTCCATTGGGTAGTCTAAAAGCATACCTGTACATTTTTATAACTGTTTCCTTCTGGAAAGTTCAACTAGAATACTTTATTGAAATATTCCTCTATATTTTAGAAAGATACTTTTTAAAAAATGCTTTGGGTTATATAAAAAATAAAATTAAAAATAAAAAAAAATAAAAAATAAAAAAAATGCTTTGGGTTGAAAATGTTTAGGTCTTAAGATTTTAAGCGGGTATGTGTGGTGTGGTTATAAGATAGCTCTTTACGAATTAGACTGTAGTAAAAAAAAAAAAAAAAACGTTTTATACTTTAGTGTTTCTGAGACTTTCTGGAGTCATTTGCTTATCTTAAGCTTAGTAGTAATTGAATGACTTAACTTTGAGAATGTTAATGGCTTTTCCTTGTTCTGTTTTGACCCAGGGAGACCAGTGTAAATTTGATCATGATGCAGAGATAGAGAAGAAAAAGGAAATGTGTAAATTTTATGTACAAGGATATTGTACCAGAGGTGAAAACTGCCTATATTTGCATAATATCCTTTATCACAAAATATAATAACTACTTTTTCTAAATATTTACATGAACATTTTAAATACCTGTAATTTTCAATGAAACCCATGTTTTAGCTATGGTAAAATTATTTTATCTAAGCCCAACTCAGTATCAGAGTGGTTAATTGTGTAGTTTTTTTTTTTTTCCCCCAAAGAAAGAAAAGATGGATTCTTTAGCAGTTCTCTCAAATCAAGATCATTCACCTGGGTATAGTATAACAGCAGGTTCATGAGACCTGTTCAGCCCCCAGAAAGACTGTCAGAATTTCTGCTGTGACATTAACTAATTGTATTTATATTCATGTAAGTTACTTTGTTGTTGTTGTTGTTGTTTAATGATTTTATTTTTAAGTAGTCTCTGCAACCAATGTGGGACTCAGATTTACAACTCTGCAATCAAGGGTTGCATGCTCTATGATTGAGCCTGCTAGGTGCCCTCATCTAAACTACTTAAAAAAAAGGAGGAGGAGGAATTACATAATTTGGGAGTACTTATTTTCTATATATTCTATACCAAATAGAGGTTAATTGTCCCTTAGTTTGGAAAATAACCCTAACTCCTCAGTGCAAATGGTATAGACATGTTGTAAAAACATGGAACATAAACATTTTAGGGTTAAGAGCACCTTTGGGCGCCACAAAAGTTGTTTTCCTTCAGTCATTCAATAGAAGGAATCTCAATTCTAACTTGAGCGTTTTTTCCTAGAAAATAATATTGAAGTTGTTTAATTGATCCTATTTTAAACAAGCCTTATATCTGAAGGATTCACATTTGTAAGGCCTATCATTGTTACTGACTTTAATTTCCCCACCCCACAAGAATGCTTTAAAGTATTTGAAATACACATCCTTTTCTTAAATCAGTGAAATATGCTGGTAGTTTATTGTGAAAATGGATATGAAGGAAAAGTATCCTGTGATAGCCATTAAACTTAATTTATATAGTTATTCTAAAATTAGATGTTTCATATAATTCAGTTAGTAATCTATTGTCTCATATTTTAAATAGAGAGTTTAGTGTTTCTACTATTAGGAAAGACCTTTATAGAGGGCAAATAAAGTCAGTAAATTAATAACAAAATATTTTAATTGGATTAAACATGTTCTCTTCCTTAACATTTGGATTACATGAATATCCTTGCAAGTTTTACCATACAGGAACAAAGTGTTATCAGGGTGAATATTGCAAGTTTTCACATTCTCCCCTGACTCCTGAAACACAAGAATTGTTGGCCAAAGTAAGTACAATTTTAATTTTTGTTTTTCTTTTTTTAAAGAGAATGTTTGAACTAAAGACTAACTTTGAACTAAGATTTGAAAACACACTCTTCTTTAAGGTTACCATATGGGGTGTATTAGGACTGACAGCCTTAGAATTTAATTCCATATAGAAAAGTAATATTCATATATATATTTTTTTGTAGCTTGAAGGAAAATTTATACTTACTGCTGGTGAGAACATTCCAGTTTATACTTATACAAGCAATAAGTATAAATTGAATGTTCTTAAAACCTTCAATGTAGTTAGCAACCTTAGTAGCCAAGCTAACCAAAGGAAAACAAAATAAATAGGAGAACTAGTACTCCTGTTATAATCTTAGAAGGAAAGCAAAGAATCGCTGGATGGTAAATATTTTTAGAGTTACACATACTCAAGTAGTTATTTCAAAAGTTTTCTTTACCAGGCGCCCGGGTGGCTCAGTCGGTTAGGCATCTGCCTTCAGCTTGCTGTGATCCCACAGTCCTGGAATTGTTGGACTCTCTGCTCAGCGTGGGAGCCTACCACTTCTTTCTTTGCCCACCTCGCATGCTTTCTCTGTCTCTCTCTCTGTCTCTGTCTCTCACTCATATACATAAAATCGTTAAAAACTTTTTTTTTCTTCAAATACTCTTTCAGGGCACCTGGGTGGCTCAGTGGGTTAAGCCTCTGCCTTCGGCTCAGGTCATGATCTCAGGTTCCTGGGATTGAGTTCCCTGTTGGGCTCTCTGCTCAGTGGGGGGCCTGCCTCCCCACCCCGATCTTCCTACTTGCCTCTCTGCCTACTTGTGATCTCTCTCTGTCAAATAAATAAATAAAATCTTTAAACAAACAAAAAAACCTCTTTCAGTGAGGAAAGATAACTGAAAAATAAGTCATTTATATTCTTTCATTTCCTATATGTTAATTGGAATTAGTGTCTTCAAAATTAAATTGAAATATAGGAGAAAATAAAAGATTCTCCTAGAACCAAGCCATACCATCTTGTGGCAGAAAGTTCTCTTGAGTATATACAAATATTAGAAAGTCAAATGTACTTATTTCTGGATATTTTTAGGTTGGAAAAATGAAGGCTTACCCTGGAATTAAAAGTCATACCAAATATTTTGTTGTTAGTATGAAATATATATGAAAAAAAGATAGATATAAAAGTTGTCTTTCAGGCCTCATTGTAAACATTAGGTGATTACTAGGATAAATAGTGTTGGACTCACTAGACAGTTCTAAGAGCATTATGATGTACCTGAATTAGACATTGATGCATAAAAATGATTGTGTGATTTTTTTTTTTCATATTAGGTTTTGGATACTGAAAAGAAGTCATCATGAAAATAAAAGGCATAAGAAAGGTAAAATTAGCTTTTAGCACATTTCCTTTTTATTCTCTGAAACAGCTCTAGAAATTGGCTTGGAAACATAGGACTTTTCCATTTTCTAAAATAGAAATCTTTTTCTTTATCTTCCCCTGCTAACAAATTATAAAACATTTGCTACCTGTACATGGATATATATGTCCAGGTCCTTGGGCCTACTTCCCTTTCTTGGTTTGTCACTATCTTTTGTAGTTTTATCCTCCTCTTTTGTTTCTTTGTAGATTTACCAAGTGTGTGTGATCCATGAAATAGTGTATTTGGTTTTGTTTGTGTTTGGATTTTATTTAAATAGCTTGGATTTTATTTAAACAATAAATATTCTATGTACTCATTTATATATTTATGTGACTTGCTATTTTCACTCACCATTACACTTCTTTTTTGGTGGGGGGTGGAGAGAGAGAGAGGGAGGGCAAGCAAGGGAGCAGGGGAGAGGGGCAGAGGAAGAGGGAGAGAGAATCTCAAGCAGGCTCCATGCCCAACTTGGAGCCAGATGCAGGGCTTGATCTCATGACCCTGAGATCATGACCTGAGGTACAATCAAGAGTCAGACGCAGAACCAGCTGAGCCACCTAGGTGCCCCTCAACATTATGTTTCTAGATTCATACATGTGGGTACACATAGCTCTTATTCATTAATTTATACTTTCATATAGCATTTCATTCTATGAATATGTTAAAATTTATTTGGTCATTCAACTACTGATGGACACTTAGGTTATTTTCAATTTTTAAAATATAAGGTATTGTTAAAAATAATTATATGTATGTCTTTTGATGTAGTTGTATGTGTGTTATCCTGGATATAAACCAAGGAAAATGTAAAATTTAAGATAATACCAGTCTTTTCTAAAGTAGTTAGAACAGTTTATACTCCCACCAACTGTGTAAAAGAACTCCTGTGGCTCTATACTTGCTGATACTTTTATTGTCAAGACTTCAGTTTATTGGACATAAAAGTGATGTCTCATAGCTTATTTTCATGAAATTCAGCATCTTTTCTTAAGCTTACTAGCTTTTGAGTTTCATTTTTGGTGAAATTCCTGTTGTGTTTTTGCCTGTGTCTCAATTGGGCTGATTGTACTTTATAAGTTGATTTTATATATTCTTGATGTAATTCTTCACGGGATATGTGTGGCAGGTCTTCTCCCATCTTGTGCATTGTCTTTTCAGTTTTTCTGAGAAGGCTCAATGAGCAGAATTACTTCCTTTGGCAATCTTTTTAAATTTTGTTTTTTATATTTCTTTTCTACTCCTTTGGAAAATGTATCAGTTAACAGTTGCTACCATAATGGTGTTAACAACCAGAAGCCGCTCACTAGCATATAAAAATAAACATTTCTTTTTCCATACATCTGCATATTGGCTGGGAATAGGCTGATCTAGGCTGGCTTTGGCTGGGTTGGCTCTGCTTCATTAAGCAGCTTGACTGGGATGGTTCTGCTCCACGTTCATCTCAGTCTCCTCCTACGCCCACTAGGCTAGCTGGGTTGTGTTCCTCTCATGGTGTTGGCAGAAGCTCAGGGCTGTTTGCATCATGTTTATTCATAACCCGTTGGCCTAAGTAAGTGACATGGCCAAGCCCAAAATCAAGAAGTAGGGAAGTACACTCTACTTAGACTTTCCACATGGGAGGAGCTAAATTACATGAAAAAAGAGGGTGATTGTGGCTATAGGGAGAAAAGAATGAACTAATTGATTTTTTTTTTTTTTTTTTTGAATGTTATGTGGTAGGGACCTGTTTTTCCCTTTCCTTATACTGACAAGCAGCCTCCCTGCACCATTCAACTGAAAAGACTGCCTTTTCCCCACTGGTTTGTAATGCCTGCCCCCTGTGCTATATATATAGTTTCCTCTAAACAAAGATTGGTTTCTGGGGTATCTTTTCTGCTTCAATTCTCTCGTTCTCAAACACTGTGTCTTAGTTACTAGAGCTTTCCTGGATTTTGCCTGTTTGATAGTTTATTTAATGCTGTTCTTCACAAATGCCTTGGATATTTTGGGCCCTTATTTTAAAAAATTATTTGGTAACATTTTGTTTATTTGAGGGAGAGAGAGTACACAGATTGGGGGAGAGGCAGAGGAAGAGGGAAGGGGACATGTAGACTCCCTGCTGAGTGGGGAGCCTGATGCGGGGCTCAATTCCAGGACTCCAGGATCATGACCTGAGTTGAACTCAGATGCTTAACCAACTGAGCCACCCGGGTGCCCCTATTTTGGGCCCTTTTACTTTGATATAGTTTTCTCCTGCTTTCAGTGTAATACTTAATACTTATTGGTAAATTTACAAAGTTGTGTGACATCACCATATCCAATTTTAGGATGTTTTTGACACCCACAAAAAGATCCCTTGTACCTATTTTTATTCACTCTCCAGTCTCACCTCCAGTCATAGGCAACCACTGATCTCCTTTCTGTCTCTAGCTTTGCCTTTTCTGGGCATTTCTTATAAATTTCAATATGTGGTCTTCTGCTTCTGGCTCTTCATGTAGTATGATATTTTTGAGATTCATTCATGCCTTATCATAGATCACTTGTTTTTTAAAAGATTTTATTCATTTATTTGACAGAAAGAGACATCACAAGTAGGCAGAGAGGCAGGCAGAGAGTGGGAAGCAGGCTCTCTGCTGAGCAGAGAGCCCGATGTGGGGCTCGATCCCAGGACCCTGAGACCATGACCTGAGCCAAAGGCAGGGGCTTAACCCGCTGAGCCACCCAGGCACCCTGTTCACTTTTTTTTTTTTTTTTAAATAATTGCCCCATTATACCATTGTATGGTTAGGGATTTCTGGATACTATGGTAATTATATGTTTAACTTCTTAAGAACTGGAAGATTGTTTTCCAAAGTGGTTGTATCAATTTGCATTCTAGACAGCAAAGTAAGAAGATTTTAGTTTCTCCACATCCTCACCCACACTTGTTATTGTCGGTTGTTTTGATTATAGCTTTTCTAGTAGGGGTGAAGTGGTATCTCACTATAGCTGTAATTTGCATTTTTCAAATGATTAGTGGTGTTAAGCATCTTTTCATGTGCCATTGGTCAGTTCAGATCTTTACCTATTCTGTAATTGGATCATCATCTTACTATTGTATTGTGCCTGTGTTTTTAAAATAGTGTCATTTGGGAGGGAGTGTGTTGTGGTGAGCGCTGTGTGTTGTGTAAGACTGATGAATCACAGACCTGTAGCCCTGAAACAAATAATACATTATATGTTAATATTGATATTAATAGGATTCTTTTGAGTTAATTCTTGGGAAAAGTAGGAGCTAAGGATCTAAATTTTTCTTTTTGCATGTAGATATCCAGTTGTCCCAGCACTATATTAAAAAAAGACTGCCCTTTATCCACTGACTTACCTTGGCACCTTTGTCAGAAATCAGTTGTCTATAAATACAAGAATTTCTTTCTACACTTTCAGTTGTGTTCTGTTGCTTTGTACGGTTATCCTTGTATGCTATCACACTGTCTTGTGATAGTGTCTTGTGATTACTGTAGCTTTATACTAAGCTTTAAAATAAGAAAATATATGCTGTCCAGTTTTATTCACCTTTTCAAAGATTGTTTTGGCTATTTGGTGTCTTTTGCTTTTTCATATAAATTTTAGGATCAGCTTGTAAATTTCTGCAAGACACCTATGCTGGAATTTTCATAGTTTGCATTGACCTGTGGAGAATGGCCATGTTCTATGGATATGGAATGTATCTCACTTTATTTAGATCTTTAATTTCTCTCAGTTTTGTAGTTTTCAGCATACAAGTGTGTTATTTTACACTTATTTTGTTAAATTTATTTACACACATTTTTTCCTCTTTGATGCTGTTGATAATTGGAATGTTTTTTAAACTTAATTTTTGGATCATATATTCCTAGTATAAAGAAATAGAACTTACTTTTGCATTTTCTTTTTTTTTTTTCCTGAGTCTTTTATGAACTCATTTATTAGCTCTATAGTTTTGTGTGTGTGTATGTGTGTGTTCTTTAGGAATTTCTATATATTATCTGAGAATAAAGACAGTTTTATTTCTTCCTTTCTAATCTGGATGCCTTTTATTTCTTGAGTGATTTCACTGCCTCAAACCTCCCATGCAATGTTAAATAGAAGGAACAGCAGATATCATTGACTTTTTCCTGATGTTAGGAAAAAAGCATTCAGTCCTTTACCACTGTGTATGATTTCAGCTGTAGATTTTTCAAAGATATGCTTCATTGGCTTGAGAAAGTTCCCTTCTATTCATACTTTATCAAGAGCTTTTATAGTGGATGGATGTTGGATTTTGTCAAATGCGTTTTCTCTATCTGCTGAGATGCTCATATCATTTTTCCCTTTAATCCTATTAATATGATACACTACATTATTATGACATACTCAAATGTTAAACCAGTGTTGCATTCTTTCTTTTTTTTTTTTTTAAGATTTTATTTATTTATTTGACAGACAGAGGTCACAAGTAGGCAGAGAGGCAGGCAGAGAGAAGAGGAAGCAGGCTCCCTGCTGAGCAGAGAGCCTGATGCGGGGCTCGATCCCAGGACCCTGGGATCATGACCTGAGCCGAAGGCAGAGGCCTTAACCCACTGAGCCACTCAGGTGCCCCAAACCAGTGTTGCATTCTTGGATAAGTCCCACTTGGTCATGGTATATAACCTGTTTTGAATATTTTTGGATTTGATTTGCTAAATTTTATGAAAGATTTTTATTCTATTCATATATAGCTTTCTTTTCTTATCATATCTTTTTCTAGCTTTGGTATCAGGCTACTACTGGTTTCCTTAAGTGAACTGACAGATGTTCCTTCTTCCTTTATTTTCTGGAAAAGTTTTTGAAGGATTGGTATTATTTCTTCTTTAAATATGTGGTAGCATTCACCACTGAGGACATCTGAGCCTGAGCTTTTCTTCAACAGAAGATTTTACATACTGATTCAATTTCTTTCCTTTTTATAGGTTTATTCAAGTTTTTTTCCTTGAATTTTGTTT